ACTGGATACTGAGGGACCCAGGGGGCCCAGGGGTACCTACTAAAGACCAATGTTCAGGATGGTGGACCATGGTTTGAGGTTTAGGGCTTAGGTTTGAGGGTTTAGGGTTTAGGGTTCAGTTTTTGGGGTTCAGGGTTTAGGGTTGAGGGTTCAGGGTTTAGGGTTTAGGGTTTAGGGTTTAGGGTTCAGTTTTTAGGGTTAGTGGGGTTCCCAAAATTAGGGGTACCTACTATAAAGGAGAAACTGGTAGGGTTTCCCAAACTTAGGGGTACCTTTTTGGGGGTAACAAGGAGTATAGCATGTTGGGATCTATTTTTGGGAAACTACCATATTTCCACGACATAGAAAATGACCCAAAGATGAAAAAGGTGACACAAGTGAGTAGTGCTTTTTTTGGTGGTTGAACCTAGTAAGATTATATTCCTCATATGAAATACTATACCCAAAAGGAGGATATTATCTTGCTCTATTTTGGTTACCACAGTATCCCTAAATAAAATACTACTCAAGTAGTAGTTTAGGGTTTGGGGTTTAGGGTTCGACGTATTAGTAAATGCGGAGAAGCGGATTAGTATGGTGAGTGCTGTGTAACAAGGTACCTAGTTCTATGTGATCATAGACGGTCGATTTGTCCTGGAAAATCGGGCAACGTTGGACTCACAACACCGATTTTGTGGTCCATAAGTTAAGCCGTTGACATCTTCATCTTTCTACTGGTAACGCCCCCTAAAAACAAGCCCCCACTCCCTAATAATAGATGTGACCCGGTACAGTACCAATATGTACTGCAGAGAATATTCATTCTTAACGGGGGGAGGGCATTTATTAGGGTGCCGGGAGCACCTGCCAATGTTTTAAGCACAGGCCTCCAGGCGGGAATACGAAGTCGCTGGCGAAGACCTCCCCATCATCTGCCGCTAGCCAGATCCTCTCGTACTTCCTCAGCTTGGGATGAGTTGGGACTTAGACTCACATCGCCACACTGGAGGTTTTAGTAGCATAGCAGAAGAGCAAGAACAAGAAAAAGAAAACACTGACAAGAAGAAGACGAGGAGGTTGTGACAGGGGGCCGAACGACATGCCATCCCTAATGTTCTACACCCCAAACTCACAGATCTATTAGGCTGCAAGCGAGCATGCGTACCGCTCCTTTCCGAACAAGGCCGTGGCTCAACAAACCGAATCGCGGTGCATTGATCGAGTATGGCCTTGTGAGCGACCGAGTTGCCCAATATTACTGTATTACTCTGATTATTAATACTACTATTATTACTACTGCTATGAATACTACCATTATTAGTACTAGTGTTATTCTTACTACTGGTATTGTTATTGTTATCTGTATTATTCCTCCTCAAAACTAACGTGGGAGACCAAAGGTGCACATGACATTGGGCTACATTGTTCATCTAACTCCCCAAACCCTAAACCCTCAAACAAAAACCCTGAATCCCTCCAATCTGAAGCTATTGAAGGCTTCAAGGTGCCACTAGGCTTGTTTAGGGTTTAGTGTTTAGGGTTTAGGGTTTAGGATTGAGGGTTTAGGGTTTGGGGCCACCACGTTCTGTTACAAGCATCCCTAAGCCAACTGGTTTAGGCCAAATTGGGTCTATAGGGGTTATATAGGGATAATGGAAAAGAAAATTGAAACTACCATATTTTAAGGGGTTATATCAGTGAGTAGTGTTTTTTGGATGGTTGAACCTAGTAAGATAATATTCCTTATGTAAAATACTATACGCCAAAAGGAGGATATAATCTTGCTCTATATTGGGTACCATAGTATCCCCAAATAAAATACTACTCAACTGGAGAAGAATCTTCGGAATGGTTTTCTCAACTTCGAGGTGGGCGACAACTATGTTCCAAAGTGCCTTCCATCCATGCGTACGAGATAAACTTCTCCGGAACTGTATATATATGTATGATAGCTTAGTCCCAGTTTTTGAACGCAAGGACGCAAGAAGCCCAGAAGAGTCGAGTTTCAACTTTGCGGATGAGTATCAAGGAATATGATTTTTGAGATGAGGGGTCGCTGCTTCCAGCACGAGTCGTTCTCGTAAGCCTGCTATTGCTGAAAAAGCTCCTGCTGCTGGGAGGGTGCAGTACTCAAGTCCTAGACGTTGAGTTTCGTTAATGTTTGCGACCCAACATCAGCCGGCTATGTGGAAGGAAACCTGCCCCATGAACTGTTCAGGGTTTTGGTTTCAATGCTTGGAGGGTCGGGGGGACTTAGTAAGTAGGTTAATAACCCCTATAACCCAGATAGTAACCCTAGCTATCCGCCTTATTAACCTACTAACTAAGTTCCCATGACCCTCCAAGTGGGGCTTGGGGCTCATGGCTCTGCCTCCAATTTCCTCTGTACTACAATGGAAGCTACTATAGTATAATAGGGGCTATATAGGGGTAATATGGGGGCTATATTGGGATATGTATTGGGATAATGGAATAAAAATGGAAACTACTATAGTATAGGGTTTAGGGTTTAGGGGAGGTTCTCTGTGCTACGAGGTTCCTGGATCCCGAAACGGGGATGAGCTCAGTATGAGCCTGTATGAGAACTGACCTGGCTTCAATACAATGTCCACTGAAGCATCCTGCTCAAACTTCTCACAGGACTGAAACGCAACATCCCGGTCGAAACTTGAAAGACCAAGAAATCGCAGTCTCTCAGAAGACAATTGATCTGAACAAATACCAGTCCCTCGCCTCCCCAAAAGCCTTGCAAACAACTTTGTTGACTAAGCTTGGTACTACACACGGAACACAATAGTGATGGATGAGGTCATCGTGATTTTCAGGGCCCGGTCCCTGGAAATTCCAGAAGTCTGCATCCTCCCCGACACCAGAGACACCAGAGCTGGAAACTTAATCACAAAAAGAAACTCTTAAGCTTGGAGTTCTCAACGTTTGGGCCTTACCCTGACCCAAATTAACATGGAACTCGATGTGGACCGTTTCGACAAAAATTGTATTTCTTGTAGGTCAGGTTCCATGTTAGTTTGGAGGAGGGTAAGCCCTAGACCATGTGGTAAGTGTCCAAAATACCTGTCATCAAAATCACTTATAACATATGTTCCCTTTTTTGCGTAGGATCTCCTTTCAATGGAATGTATTCCCAATGATCCCTGCGTTGAACGGGCCCATAGAACAACCCTAAACCCATGTAACCCTATATCACCCCATATAATCCTCTATAACCTTCTATAACCCTATACTACCCTCTATATATATATATATTTTTATATATATACAGCTGTATATATATATAATATACACCCTACAAGACCTTCTGAGGCCCCCGCAAGATGGTACAAAGCTCGCCCGATTGCTGCCAAGGGCAGGGAACGAAGCTTGCCATGAAGGCCTCTGCTCACCGGAGCGATATGGGGGTTTCCCAAAATTAGGGGTACCTTTAAAGGGGCTTATAGGGGATAGGACTATATAGGGTTTAGGGATTA